ATTAAAGGGTCTTTGATTCCAAAGGTTGATAACTTGGAGTAGTAACTTGGATTCAGAGTATAACATCGTATTCTGACTGTTTCGAACGCTCTTCTCACATTCTTTACAAGGGAACTTTATCGGGCCTGGATTAAGATTTATATCTCCACAACGTTGTAGTCGTTGGATGTTAAACCAGCTCCGCACATCAGTTGAGTGACCGGCACTTGATAAAGAAGAAATTGTTTTCTACGGCAACGTGGTCTTTATCTCTGTGTACTTTGAGCTTGAGATCCAAATTTCGTCTGATAACTAGGTATATTTGTCGTTTCTCGTTGCTTACAGGTTTCTAGTACGTTTCTTAGGGAGTAGGTTTCGGTCAACATAAAAAACACGATACGTAGAGCCAACAAAGTCACAGAGTATCGGAAGCTTTTCGCCGCCATTGTTACGCTGCCAGTAAATTAAATAAAGGATTCTGTTTTTCTAAGGTTACAGGATTGGCTGATTCAGAGTTTTGCGCCAGTGTAAAAATTTATTTTAAATAGTTAGAAAAATTGACGAGTTCACACCGAACCAAAAAACAAAGATGGTGATGATAATGAACCAGACAGCCTGGAAGTATTGATAACATCGCTCGACATAAACTTGAACGCCAAAGACTATACCGGTGCCATTACAGGAACAGATCAAGAGATCATCTCTTGACGGGACAGAATTTAGTTCGTCCAAATTAAAGTATCGATGGAGTTAGGATCGTGAGGTGTGTTTTCTATTTATCCAGTTATGAACTTAACAAGATTAAAGCAGTGTCTGAAAATCCTTTTTTGATCCCCCCCCCACACCCAATTTTGATTACCAGCCTGTTTGACGTTCGTACGTCCGCTATAATAGGGTCACAATAAGCGTTGAGAAAGAGCTACTTTTTTTTCAGATATTTGGGTGGGTACTTCCCTAAAAGAACTTCCACGTCCTTTCTTATATCAGAGACATACAACATACAAAGCCATTCCGAATCTACCTCTTCTTCAGATGGTAAAGCAACACTACCTGATGGTTTGATGTTTATTGAAGAAAATGTAATTATCACTCTTTTGTAAACGATTTTTCCAAAAGTATCCTGAACTATAAAAATTTAGAGCCAATCAATCAATCAATCAATCTTTGTTTGTACTCATTCATGCTAAAAGTAAATTACACCGATGAAAACATTAAAAGTGAAAAATTAGAGTACTGCCTGCCTGGAATAACCATGGGGGCTAACGGAGCCAGACAGCCATTGTGAATACAAAAGGGAAGTTTTTGATGAATCCAAATGTACCTTTAAGTGATACTTTCTAAAGACCTCTTCTTACTGCGAAACTTTTTGCTTAAAAACACGAAACTCTCTTCAAAATCCTGAAAGTTCCCTTTTGCATTAACTAAGAACTGTCCCACACAGATTTGGAGTCTTTTACGATTGTCAAATCTGTCGGAAATCAATGAGTCTCCTACCATTTGAGGAACATGATCTCGAATTTTTCTATTTTCGTCCATAACTTGCAACACCATGTTTATGTCTGAAATAAAGGCAAAAAAAAATCAGTTAATCATCTAAAGTAATTTTTGTCATAGTGTAGTTTGATCGTCCGGGTGAGCGTAGTCCTGAGAAGGACTGTTGTCAACAGTGATGACTGACGTTTCGACAACCTGAGCTGAAATCATCATCAGAGTCAAGTAAATAGTTGTCGTCAGTCGAATATTCTAAGTCCACTTTATATAAACCGATTGGTCAGTTTTGCCGCGATTTTATTGGCTGTAAGTATGTACGGTATAGTCGCCGTAGTCGTAAGATTTTTGTTGTCGATAGCAGTAGTGGGTCGGTGAGTGTTTCGTCGGATGACGTCTTCGTCATTGTTGCTCTTTAAAAAATCACGGTCAAGGTACTTGTTCTCGTCGGATAAGCCGTCTGTTGTGCATTAAAGTTGCGCTCGACACACCGCCAGATTACTGGGCGAGTCATCCTACAACCCGACATCACATAAAGCCACAACTATTGTGACTCTTACGTGTATTTGTACTCTTTTTATTGTTATATGGTGTCTATACGATTTCACTTTCTTTGGAAGTTCCATGTACGTCTTCACAGCGTTCATGTGAGATTAACATACCTAGATCTTTCACTCGCAGCTCGTGCGTTTGATACATGGATCTATGGTTTACCATCCTGTTTCAGTTTTCCATGAAAAAAAAAAAATGCTGACTATGCCGAAAATAGTGGGATGGAAAATAAATCATTTAATTCTCTGCGGCATTTTCTATTTCAACACGATCAAAATGCAACCGCGTCACAGAAACCCTGCTCTGAGTTATGTTTCGATTTCGATAAAGCTCGTTGGTACTTTCTGTTCATACTAAATTTATGAAAATCCGTTCTTAAAAAGACTGGCTTTATCAGGGGAATGAAAGCTTATACGAGTTTCCTTCCTGTTACTAGGTATGCAGCCAATCCTACGGAAACACAATTAACCATAGTTTTGAAAAGTGAAGTGTCCAATTTAGTTGTATGCAGCTGGATAGGAGACTTTTTATTTTATCTTATTCATAGAAAACACTAACAATAAGATAAAACATTCAGTAAAGTAGGTACCATACGAAAGAAAATTACAGCACTTTGAGGACTTCAATGGATAAAAAACAAATTAACGGTAGGCGCTGCTGATTAGAAATTTTAAAAACATGAGAATATTGACACAAAGTACGTAAATTAATTTGTCCTTTTGAGACGTTAGTGGGCGCAAAATTTCTGGACAAAATATTTTATATAAGGCATTCGGTTCCATTTGTGATCAATGAGGTTGGCAGTTTTGTTTTTCGTTGCGATGTATCTTTCAGTAATTATGTCTCCTCGAAGTTGTACTTTAAACAGTGAGAAGAGTAAAGACTGTTCATTCAAGTTACTTTGTAAATGAAGTATTTAGCCACAAGCAAAAGCCAAACTCAGGGAGGGGTTGATGGTCTTTGAGTGAGTTTGTAGGAGCATAGAAAAGATGGTAATTTAGTATTATTAACTGAGCTGATAACGTAAACTGGCCACTGTACAGAGTTTAAAGCTGACGTTTCGAGCGTTAGCCCTTCCTCAGAGCGATTGCTCTGTCTAGATCTTGCTTCCAGAGCTGTCACGTGACAGACCAATTATTAGAGTACAGCTTAATACGTCCATTTTCAAGAAAAGGTAATTGTACGTTTCCTTTTGGTACTTTACACGTTATCACACCTGCCATTCAAAAAATCATTCCAAAATAAAGCTACACACGGTTTGATTTAAGATAAGGTCAACTGATTCGCCAGCTTTCATTGTGTATGTAAGCTACAAGACTTTAAAGCTCATTTTGATATCGATCGTAAACCTTTCCACGAAAAATCTTTGACTGCATAGTGTAGTTTCAAACAAGCAGTTAGTTATACAATGCTGGAAGATGGGAAACAATTTTAAAAAGTTTCAGTAAAATGAATAATTATCCAATTGGGAATCGCCTAATTTTTCCACTGTTTACATCAAACAACCGAACTTTTCGATTTTTTAGAATCGAATAAAAGTTCAATTAATAACCCCGCGTTGGGGACAGTACCTAGATTATCACGATCATTTTCATACAGACAACATCCTCACCAAAATAATTTTAATGTGCAGAATAGAACAATAATTTTTTGCACGATAGCGAGAATTACCATGGCTTTGGTTTGTTCGTTTGAGCAAAGAAGAGCAGCATGGCAAAGTTTTGATCTGTACCACGTTTTGGAAGCACAATTCGAAACAAAGGACAGTCCAAACAAGACATAATCTACGTTCGTGAGAGAATTCTCTCACCATGGAAAATGATACCGTTACCCCTAAGCTTCAGACAGTTGGATGTATGGGAGAATTAAACTGTTCCATTTGACTCTGACGATCTCTTATTTCCTTTGACGAACCCGTAATCTTATTTCAGTCAGTTAGCCTAACGGGTGAGAATAAAAGTTTGTCAATTACTAATTCGCTCGATAGTTCGTATAGAAATCTTGCACATTGAAACTAGGCCGATCAGGTGCCATCCGCATGCAACCCATAATAACAAGAATGGGCTTTCCCGCTTTTCATCACCAGATAAATGAATTCTAAACAAATTGTGGTGCTGGATTGGTAGAATACAGCGGTCAAACACTACGCACGAGAGTTTGAAAAGAATAAGAGAGAAGATTTATGAACGCGTGTCTAGCGTAGTGTGGCAAAGGAAAGGTTTAATTCCCAACTATTTCAATGCGTAAGACAAATGAGAGAAGGATTTTTATAAGTTGTAAAAAGTTTCTAAAGCTGACGTTTCAAGCATTAGTCCTTCGTCATTCGCTCGGATGAAGAGTTTCGTTATCTTTAAAAACTCTTTATAATGGCCAATCTACACTATCAACTCATTTGATAACACCAAATTATCTCACCAGACAAAGGTGAGGTGCTCTTCGCTTGCAATATGAGTCTAGAGGGTAAGGAATATCATTATCATTACTTCTTTTTATTATTATTACTTTTAGTACTGCTAGTATGATTATAGTTTTTCTCATTACAATCATAACTATCAGGCGCGTAGCATATACACACGTGCGTACTTGAAGTGACCAGAAAAAAAATTTTGGAAGTTTTAGCAATTCTTTCTATTTGCCCATGATGATCAAAATATTGTAATAAGCCCAAGTATAATAACAATAATTGTGTTTTAGAAACAAGCTTAAAATACTGATAAACATTATTGACTTCCTTTAGCAAATAAAAAACCAAAATAATAAAATGATGATGTACAAGAAACTTCCCATTTAGCTACGGAATACTATTATGGCTTGAACATGCTATAAATGTTGAAGTAAACAACTAAGTACTGAAAGGATATGTAAAGTATTCTTGTCTCACCAGGAGATGAAAAGCGAAATATTTCCGTAAAAGGAGTGGGCGTTAGAGGGGCCGGTCAGTTGGAAAAATACCACGAAGCAAATATTTTGTCTAGTGCATACAAACTTACGTTTAACATCTGCCTCTGTAGATTTTCGTGACATGTCACGCAGTCTAAGGTCAGTCAAAAACACGCTAATTTTCGAACATTTTCCTCTTTTTCGTGTATTTCATTTGAATTGCTATCTTTCTTACCTTCAGTTTCTAAAACTAACGTACATAAGCTTTCTATACCACTGCATTTGAAGACAATCATTAAAATATTTCGTTCGGGTTTTTGAGACTTATGGTTAGCGATTCAGACATGTCGAAGAGGGGTTCACGCCACATGCAAGCAGTGGCCATGGAGTCTGGGGCTATAACTCTAAAGCGCATGCCTATAACTGGTCATTACCGCGAAATACGAAAAAAACAATAAATTTGGCGCAATTTGATGTATAATACATGAGGTTTGAATATTGTTTGGGTTCGGGAAATGAGACTCGAAGTTACGCGCTGGTGATTTTTTCTTCGCTGGCTCTTCTCGCGGTGGCGGTAGATGCACAAAACGATTTCGGCGAAGAAACAAATGGTCCAAAAGGGGAAAAACTGCCTTGGTTTACTTACGAAAAAACAAGTAAGTAAAAATTGCGCTTATCGAAGTGTATTCCGACCTGTTTCTTTTTTCTTTTTAATTTTTTTCAATTTTTTTTCACCGAACTGATTTTTTTTTAATCAGCTATCTCATATATTCCCTGTCGAAGAAGTCTGATCAAGAGCCGAACGACGAAAGTGCTGATTCTGTGATTGTGGGAATCGTGGAAAAATTTTTGAGGAATCTGAGATTCGCGGAGTTGTTATAAATTCCAGAATTCTCAACGTCTTCAG